CACATGAGACTGTGGGAGGAAAGCTCCAGAGGAAGGAGGACCATTGAGGTGGCTACTGTGTTGGCCCAGTAGAAATTGACAGTATTTTGTATATATGTGCCCATTTTTCTTTTTTTTAAAAAAAGAATGCTCTTGTGGTCCCCTAGTGTCTCTAAGATTTGTGTCACTTTGCTTCAGTGACAGACCTCCCACCCTGCCTGGCTCTGCTGGCCCTGCTGAACCTCCCCCAGGCTCTCCTGTTGCTCTGCCATGGAGCAAGTTCAGCTCTCTGTCCATTCTGCTGGGTGACAAGGTTTTGTAGTTCCTGTTTCTCTGGGCTTAACTCAAGGCCGCAAAGTTCTTTTTCGTCCCTGAAAGAACGTTACAGAACGTTATCAGGGTGAGAACAGGAACTGAGGCCTCTGCCACTGGCTGCCCCTTTAATCCAGTGGCTGCTATTTCTTAAGACGGGCTAAGCGTCTCTTATCTGGAATGCTTGGGACAGAAGTGTTACGGATTTTAGATTTTTTCAGACTTGGAATATTTGCATATATACATAACGAAGTATCTTGGTAGATCCCATGTCTAAACATGAAGTTCATTCATGTTTTATATATACCTTATACATGTATCCTGAAGGTAACTCTATACAGTATTTTAATTTTGTACATGAAACAAAGTTTTGACTGTGCTCAGGTGTGGGATTTTCTACTTGTGGTGTCATGTTGGTACTCTAAATTTTGGGGCTGGGCATAGTGGCTCACGGCTGTAATCTCAGCACTTTGGGAGGCCAAGGTGAGTGAGTGGATCACTTAAGGTCAGGAGTTCGAGACCAGCCTGGCAAATATAGTGAAGCCCTATCTTTACTAAAAATACCAAAATTAGCCGGGCGTGGTGGCGGGTGCCTGTAATCCCAGCTACTCTGGAGGCTGAGGCAGGAGAATCGCTTGAGCCCAGGAGGCAGAGGTTGCAGTGAGCCAAGATCACACCATTGCCCTCCAACCTGGATGACAGAGGGAGACTCCATCTCAAAAAAAAAAAAAAAAAAAAACTTTTGGGTTCTGGAGGATTTTGGATCTTTGGGTTAGGGATGCTCGACCTGTACCTCTTTCATTTGGCGGCTCCTCTCCTTCCTCCACTGAACATCCTTGTGGAAAGGTGACAGCTACCTGCACCACCTGCTGATGAATGGTGAGAAGGTTCAGAGCAATAGGGCCAAGTTGCTGGTGGGCACCTGGGGTTCGGGCCAGCCCAACTGTGACTGAACCCACCTGTGGCTGAGCTGAGCATCAACCAGCTGTGTCCACACCCGGCCTGAGGCCTTCCCTCTCCTCCCTGGCTGGGGTGGGACCTTGAAGAGGCAGATCCTTCCATTAGGTGAGGAGCAACAAGAGACCTGTTCCCCTTCTCCCTCTTGCTTTTCACAGCTGAAGCGGAGCTTATGGGAGTCACTATTAGAGTGAAGGGCCTGGGCTTTGGCCTTCGGTGCCTGGCAGGGGTGACCTTATCACTGAGATGGGGAAGCAGCTGCCATGAGTCATTTTAGTCTCTGAGCTCCAGCCCAGTTCTGGAGGCACAAGGCTGGAGTAGGGATACTCCTGGTTACCTGCTTTAGGAAAAGCACCAAATAAATTGGCATTAAAGTCTTGGCTGTGTTCTGGGAGTTGAGGGAAAAGCAGGGAGGTATTTAAGTGGCTTGACTGAAACACCAGAGACAGTAGTAAGTAGTTATTTACTGATTTTTACCCATTTCTACTCTGGTAATCCTCCCTACAAATGAAGAAAACCAAGATTTCTTCATCTATTATTTTTCCCCATCTTCTGTATTGAAACAGTGTCTTATCTCACGCAGTGACTCTGTAGGACATTTAGAAAGGTGGTCATGGGTTTCATTGGAGTAAGAATGTATTAATGTTTCCTCTCTTCATCTCAAAATTTCTGTCTTATTACCTTTTCTTTCCTCTTAATACCATCTCTACAGTTTGCTTACATGCTTTAAGGATCACAGAGACACAAAGAACATTTGAACCCTAGCGCTCCTCTCATGCCACCTCCTCCTCCCCCCAGGGGAGCGCTCTTCCTCAAATAAAGCATGTTGGAACTTCAGCTTCTCTCTCCTTCCACAGACCTGCTTGGCGCCTGCCCAAGAACCCAAGCAAGACTCCTCCATTGTCTTGGTTGAGGGCGGCATACAAGAAACCTCTTTGTCAGTCCCAGCCTCAGTTTCCAGCCAAGGTGTTGGCCCTCAGCTCTGGGGTGGGCTGTACCGAGGGCCTGGTGGCAGGTGCACTCCCCACTTCCTCCCTCTCTTCAGATACCTGCTGGTATTTGCCTTTTCTGCTTCATGGCCTCTGTCAGGACTTGGCTGTGTTCTGGGAGTTGAGAGCAAGTATTTGAATGGAGAGGACCTCATAGCCAGTCCCCATTCAAATGCTTTAGGAGTTCAACATAATGTTTTGAAATATGTATACATTGTGGAATACAATGCAGAATGATTATATCTAGCTAACTGACATGCATTACCTCATATGATAACATTTTAGCTGTCAGTTAAAAAAAAAATTCCCCAATCCCCCAAATGCTTTGGGTGCTGACTCCAATCTGTGCAAATCACACAGTTTGGATTCCTGACCCCTGCCTAGGGCAGGGAGCATCTCTCCCTTCAGACAGCTCTTTATGTACATTTGTTTCCTGCTCTTCCGGACTCATTTTCAGCAGGCTATGGAAAGAGGTTTTAAGGAGAGAAATGAAATGTGCAAGGGGTGGTTCCGTTAAAGAAAAACTTAGTGATACTCGTTAAAGCACAGTAAAGACCACCATCTCCATAGGTATAGGGACCACTGCAATGGGGTCTTGCATGGGGGAGAGAGATTGGGCTCAACTCTGAATACAGGGTGCACAGTGGGAACTCATAGTCAAGAAGCAGGGTGGTGGTTGGGGTCTGTGAATAGAAAATTACTAAGAGGAGCCATCAGGGTAAGAGGGATTCTGGTGAAACTGACCTAACAGGACTGTTGCTTAAGACAGGCCAGGGAAATAGACCACTCCGGGATGGTGGAGGGTGAGGAGCCTGATAAGGCTTGGAGGGTGATCAGATATCCAAGGGGAAAGGGGTTTTGCTAAGACTGGATTTTACAAGGAAGCGCACAGACGGGCCTCGCAGAAGACTCAGAAGCCTGACTGAAGCTTGCACCTTAAGCCTCTCTGTCAGTTATTCTAATTATTGCCAAGGATTTTTTTCCCCCGAAAGTGACAAGGCAGAATAGCCAAGTATTTTATGTTCCTTTATTCACAAGGAAACGATGCTTCTCCACCCTAGCCCGTGAGACCTGGGCTTGTCGGGGCTCAGCGGGTGAGAGCCGGGACCCTGGATGTCAGTGACCCTAACCCCTCACGGCTGCGGCGCCAGTCCCACGCGAGACTGCCCTCCCCGCGCGAGACACGCACCCCAGCTGCGGCGGTTCGGTTGTGACCTAAAGGCACTGGGGCCGCCCCTTCAGCCTTGCTATCTGGACTCCGTCCCTCGCGACCCGGGGCTGATGGCGGAGATCCAGCCCCACGGGTGTCGCTGCGGCGGGGGAGCAGCTCAGGGGAGGGAGAGAGGTCTCCGAGCTCGCTGCGCCCGGGTGTGGGCGGCACCCATTCTAGTCGCCTATTTGTTGCGGATCACGTTTCAGATAGCTGTCCCGAGTTCCCATTTGGGGGCAGATCCTCCTCCCCCCCACTTATTGGATACGGAGTCTCGCTCTGTTGCCAGGCTGGAGTGTAGTGGCGCGATCTCGGCTCACCACAACCTCTGCCTCCCGCGTTCAAGTGATTCTCCTGCCTCAGCCTCCCGAGTAGCTGGGATTACAGGCTTGCGCCACCAGTCCCAGCTATTTTTGTATTTTTAGTAGAGTATTTTTCACCATGTTGGCTAGGATGGTCTCGATCTCTTGGCCTCGTGATCCGCCCGCCTTGGCCTCCCAAAGTGCTGGAATTACGGGTGTGAGCCACTGCGCCAGATCTTATCAGATCAACCTTGTAACCTCAAAACGCCGCAGGGGAAGGCCTCACAGCGGGGATTTCCAGTCCGGGCTCAGGCCTCCTTTGCACTGCGTCAAGCCAGGAGTGTGGTTTTTAACTAAAACTCAGCGCCGGCGCCACGTGACCGCGGCGGAGCCCAGCGTCCTGCGCGCGAGCAGAGGAGACCCCCTGGGGCCGCCACCCGAATAGTAAGCGTTAGGAAGGACTCCTCACTTCTAAGATAACAAACAGAGGCCGGGCTCCCATCCTCCTCCTGTACGCGAGGACTGCCTGATCCAGCAGGGGGCGCTCGACCTGGTTTGAGGGAATTCCCGGCGGGGCTTTCAAAAACGCTCCCTTTTCCCTTCCGCTAACTTCAGGGGCCGGGAATGGACACTTTCACTTTCCTCAGGTCGGGCCGCGCCGCCTAGTTGGCGTTCACAGCGCGCAGGAAACTGGGTGCCGGCTGGGTACACAAGCATGGCCAGGGTGAGGCACCCCCAGACTTCCCAGTGAGCCAGCGGCCGGGAGCCGGAAGTGCCCCGGGAGCTGGGACTGCGAGGGCGACGGGAGCGCGCCAGGACCGGAAGTCACCGGAGCTCGGGAGCGCGCGGGGCCCGGAAGACGCGGGCGGCCGGAGGTCCGCGGAGTTCGGGCGCCGGGCAGGACGGCGAGGCTTTAAGTTCCGGATGGGGTGCGGGTCCCATAAACGTCCGGAATTTGCCTCCGGGCTCCGCTCTGGAAGCTACGAAGGGGCACGAGAGCCGGAGCAGGGGACCCTGAGAGCAGGGAAACCAGTAGCCAGGTCGGAGGAGCGCGCAGCAGGTCGGCGCCGCCAGCGCGGGGACCGGCCCGGAGAGCGAGGGCGGGCTGTGAATGGGCGGTGCATCGCGTTCCCGCGGGTCCCGGTTCCGCTCAGGCAGGGAGCGGCTGGGATGGGTCGGTCTGAGGTCGGTCCACGAGCGCGGAGCCCGGGAGCCCCAGCTTCTGGAAGGTGCTGCGGCCGGCCCTTCGGGGGAGAAGCAGGGCGGGGAGGTACGGGGTTTGGAGGCTGCAGGACCTGGCTGTGAATCCAGCCAGCTGGTTTCAAACTTTTCTGTGATCTTCTGCAAGTTAACTAAGTCTCAGTTCCTTGTTTGCGAAGTGTACTTCATATGCACCCCAGGGTGAAAGAAATTTGTCTGCATAGACTGCAGCACTGTGGGCTTGGGAGGCGCCTTAGTGGGTAGGAGTCACTAGTATCACTGTCTGACTTTTGACAGAAATTAAGGTGCATTGGCAAAGGTGTGCCCCGTGGCCGGACAGGTTGGGAGGAGGGCCTGCTAATATTTTTTCTTAAATTGTAAACAGCCATATGGATGAGCAGTATATTATCAAATTATGATTCGGAGAGAACTATCGCTGACTACCGTTTTCTGGGCAAACCTCTGCTTCAGGAGCTTCTGGCTTGATTCTTAAGTGGAAGGTAGAGACCTAGGCACTCTGAGTCAACTCCTCTCTGGTTGAGGACTGAGCTTCGGGATTGCAGAGTGGAGGCAGAACAGTTGGGATAGGGAAAAGAGAGGCCAAACTAGATCTGAGGCTGCCGTGGGCCAGGGGCCTCAGGGTCTACCTACTGGCACAGTGATGCCCCCTGGCTCCTATTGCTGGTTCACGTTTGACCAATCAGAAGTCTCTTTAGCTTAAGGGCGGGGTGTTGGCCAATGAGACCTTACTGTGAAATAAAATGGCTTCAGTTTGTTGTAACTCAGTCACCATAGAGGAATGGAGAAATCTGGAGTAGGGCAGATGAAAGGCCATTAAGGGGTATTTTAGGGATTGGATGGGCTGGGCACCGCGAGGACAGTGGCATTTGGCGTGGTAATGAGAAGGAACATTAGAGGCCTCCGCCTCCTTCCTTTCCTCCTGTGCCGAGTCAGCACAGATGCTGCAGGGAGGTATCTCTGGTTGGCTGTGGCTGCCTGTGGGGGCACCAGCTTTGGGGAGGTCAGAGGGCTCTCCAGCTGCCGTTCTGCTCGCAATCACACCTGCTTGATACCTGTGAATGGCCTTCTGAATCTCCTGGGCCCTGCTCACCTCTTGGTCACTTCTGGCCTACCCTGCACTGACGAGTAACTGCCTGATGACTGGAGGTATTCTAGCTTATTGGAATTCACTGGCCTTTATTGTTTTTTGTAGGAATCAAAGATCAACTCCCACTGAGGATAAATGGACGTGTAATTCTGGGTGTGACTAGAGAGTGAGATTTGCCTTCCTGAATTAAAAAGCAGGTCATTAAGCTTGGGCCCTGACACTTCTTTGTGAGAAGGTACAGAGATGGAAACCTTACAACCTGAGACCAAAAAGAGGGTCCTTCCCTCATGGCTGACAGCCCAGGTGGCTGCAAAGAATGTGGCACCAGTGAAGGCCCCCAAGAGGAGGAGAATGGCAGCAGTACCGGTGGCAGCAGCAAGGTGCGACAACCCTGGTCAGAGGACTCATGCAAAACGCGAGTGGAGCAGGGGCCCCCACGGTCTGGGCAGGGTCTTCCAGTTGAGGCAGAACAGCAAGATGGGTGGGTGTTTCAGTCTGATCATCTCCTGAGATCTTAGGAGGTGGATGGGCTGCCGGCAGGAGGCAAAGCGGGTTGACCCTTGAGGACGCCCTCACTTCTGTCTCCGCACTGGTGAGTGCTCTGCTGTCAGCACACACACGGTCGCTTCTCCATGTCAGCCAGACCCTGATGCCAGTTGTCCAAAATGCCAGTCTCTTCTTTTGCAACAAACATGGTTACATTAGATGGGTAAGATCAGGGGTAGGGTCTGGTCTCCTGAGTGGTGCCTGCTCTTCCTGTGAACAGACCTTCAGGGATGGACAGATGAGCAGCAGCTTCAGGGCCAGCAAGAGATCAGTAGCTGGGGAGTGAGTTAGTTGAAGGATGGTAATTGCTGGAGGGGAGTGTCTCCAGGCTGCAGCATCAAGTGTGCTCTCCCCTCCCCCCATCAAGTGGGTGTTCCCTGTTTCCCGGTCCGGCTCCTCCTCTAGGGTTTCCTAACTGACAGCCCTCCCTTGTGATGGCTGCCATGTTTCCCTAAATGTGGTCCTGCTTTCAGGTTCCTCTCGATGCAGCCTTGGCCTGAGGTCCCCTTCCTCTTGCATCCACGTGTGTGTTTCAGAGGCAGCTGTCCTTCCCTACTTCCAGATCCTTGTAGGGCAGTTGGTGGAAGGTGGGAGGCACCCCAGTGTTGCCTCCAAGAAGCCTGTGCCAGTCACTGGGCTGCAAGGCTGAGGAAATTGTGTCTGTGTCGGCGGAAGCTCCTCAGCTCAGAGGTGCTGGTGCCTCCTGCCTGGTGGGAAGGCATGGGGAAGAGGCCCTCTGGCTCCTGTTTTCTTTGTCCTTGTGAGATCTGAGAACCTGTGTCATCTGTGCCTTTCATGTCTTTGTTTCAGACTCCCTGCGACGAGGACTGTGTACTGCATGAATGAGGCTGAGATAGTTGATGTTGCTCTGGGAATCCTGATTGAGGTAAAGTCAGCTGAGCCTCTTACTCATGACCAGAAACTCTCCATGGGCAGAAGCTAGACTAGGCCCTTGGTCACTGTCAGTAAGAGAGACACCCTCTGCTGCAGGCTTCGTCGTCTTCCTCCTGCCCCTTGCTTCACTCTTGTCTCGGCCCTGCTCCCCAGGGCTCTCCCCATGTGGGTGTGCACCCAGGGGGTGGGTCTTTGGCGCTAGACGCCTGGGAGGGCATGTGTGTGTGAGGGAGAGCTACTGTGCACTAGTGTGGATGTGGACGGGATATGAAGTGTTTACCTCTTTGTGTTCTTGGAAAGTGTCCCAGTTGGGTAGATGACTTCTTAGCCATTGCCCCTCTCCTGAGCAGAGGCTGCTGAGCTTCCTGGCTTCTTGCAGTAATAATTGCAGTGCCTCAGAGTTGTACAGCACTCTATAGTTTCCCAGGTACCTTGAAAGTGTGTGTGTTATGTCATTTTAGCCTAGCCATAACCCTGTGATGTGGTTGTGTCAAGATGCTATTACAAGAAATCGAGCCTCCGGGACTTTTCCTAGTGCTAAGACGTGGGCCCACACCCAGGTTTTGTATCCTGGGCTCCTTCCATTCTGTCACCGGCCTTTCTAGACATGCTGCTTCCATTTGTTTCTTTTTCCTTTCCCCTCAACTAATCCTTATGTCTGCCTGCTTCTCTCCCAAGTGGGTCCTGGTTTCTTCAAGAGCTGAGAAGAGGGGGTCAGGGGCTGGAGTGGGGTGAAGAGAGGGTGGGTGCTCAGGATATGGGTGCATTGCCTGGCCTGCTCACATTGGCTTTGCTTCTGGATATATCCTATGTTACTGACAGACAGATCAGCATGTTAAGGAAATAAAACACGTTTGTTGAGCCTGCCATTTCCTGTACCCACAGAGCCGCAAACAGGAAAAGCCCTGCGAGCAGCCGGCCCTGGCGGGCACTGATAACCCACAACCCTCCCCTCCCTGCTCTGTGTCGCCTCACACGAGTTCTGGGAGCAGCAGTGAGGAAGAGGACAGTGGGAAACAGGTACCAGCCCCAGGCCTCAGCCCTTCCCAGAGGCCGGGGAGTTCCAATTCCCCCTCCAGCAGGAGCCCCGAGGAAGAGGAGGAAGAGGAGGATGTGCTGAAATACGTCAGGGAGATCTTTTTCAGCTAGGGCATAAACACTGAACTTCCTGCTGAGAGCAGCTGAGCTTCCACTAGTGCTGCTGGGCTGCTCGCCTGTGGGAATGGGGCTCTCTGTGCTCCCACCTTTGTGACTTCCTGGGCCTGGCAGATTCACTCCAGGCCTTGGGGCTGCCATTCTGAGTATGCGGAAGCCATGGCTCAAAAGAGATCCCATTCGAATCCCTCTGTATGTACTGCGCCCTCTCCCAGCTCTGAGGCGCTGGAATCCCAACTGTCTGTGGTAGTCAGTCACTAGGTTCCAGGGAGAATGATGTCATATGCTGGTCCAACTGACTGGAACCAAAGAGACAATACTTTTCAAAGAAAGGGATTGCAGCCAGGCGCACTGGAATTGCTACAGTTTAGTCCGCATGATCTCTCCTAAAGGAGGAAGCCTGTTTAAAAAATAGTTTCCATCATGGTCAATCAATGAGCTCCCACCTCTCCAGCCAGCCTAGAAGGCAAACGAGCTACCCACAGTTCTCTGCCCTGTCTGGGAGCTTGAGGCCACAGTGTACAGACTGGTAAGCCCAACAGGCCTCCTCCCTCAAGCTGCTACCTTGCTTTCACACGTACCTTGGTCCCCAGGCAGTTGCTATAAAGCAAGAAGGACAGCCCAGAAGAGACACTGAAGACAAGAGATCACACCTGAGTCCATGTTTCCACTTCTGTTTTCAGTGTGGCCTTGGACAGGCATAGATGAGTAAATCATTTGCCATACAGGTTTTCCAATACACAGGTGCTGGAAAATACACAAAATTCCCCAATGTGTAAGTTGTGCCAATGTCCTTTCCAGGTCCTGGTTGGAAAGTGGAGGGTGGCAGCATTTGTATGTGTACAACCGTCCAGTCCTGTTCACACTGATTTGGTGTCCTCCTGGGTCTCATCATGGGAGTGATTTGCCGGCAGATGCATCTGCTCTATCTGGCTTCAGGTCCAGGGAAGCTTTGAAGCAACCAAGGCTTTTCTTTGTGTCCCATGTGTCCTGTATTTGTCGAGTCACTCCGAGATCATTCCTGGGCCTGTGGGCGTGGAGTCCCAGTGGTGGCTCATGACAGCCCACTCACCATGGTGGGCCCAGTGGAAGCTCCCTGATCAGGGCCCCAGGGACACTGAGGTGCTCACTTTTTAAAAAAATGTCCTCATTTGTTGCCATAAATCTTTGCTAGGCTTCATTTGGCATTTTGCAAATCAGCCTGGACGTCTGGCCCCATGATGGGAATCACTCCCTCCTGAAGCTAGAGGAAGATTTGCTCAGATCCATTAATTAAAGCAGGAATTGTTGTGACAATGAGCTGCATGGTTTTAGGGAGTCTTTGGAAGCCTTGGAAGTCCTGAAGGACAGACAACCCTACACTAAGAAGCCACAGGTGTTCCGGCTGCCCTTGGTGTCCCTTGGCCTCCTTGATGTGGGGGCCCCACCTCTGTAATGGGTTCCATCTGCTGGAGCTGGAGATCAGTATTAGCTATAAAATGAGATGGCTGAAAAGATGTGCCACATCTGAGCGTGGCTGGAACTGAATCCTTGCAATCACATAAGCCTTTAGCAGCTCTCAAGCTCGCTCTTAGCCCTCTCAGTCCCCAGAGGGAACAGAACTGTGGCCATAAGCAAGAGGATGAGTAAGCCCTGGGCGCTGCCCAGAGCTAGAAACCCAGGCCCCAGGAGGGAGAGCCTGACCCACTTCCACACATAGGAGAGGAAGAGGCCCAGGCCGCCAGCCAGTAGCACGGAGGATGCACCTAGGAAGCCCACTGCCAGCCGCCACTCTCCCTCGTCACTGTTGCACCGGGCTAGGAGGAGAGGCAGGGGCACAAAGAGGGTGAGGACCAGGGCCCCGTACACACCAAGCCTGGCCAGGGCCAGGCCAACCCGAGGCACCCCCAGGGCCTCCAGCTCAGGGAACTGGTGACACTGTAGGGTGCCGATGTCCTCATTCCACAAGCAGAAGTTGTAGAAACCGATTCTCAGGTTGGGCAGGTCAGTGAGGTTGCCAGCCTTCCAGAGGAGAGCGTAGAACATCAGGGAGATGACCACAACCGTGAGGACCATGATGCTCACGAACAGGAGGTCAGCCCACCGAGGCCTTGGGCTGGCCATCTCTCCTGCCCTCTGCAGGGGGACCTGTGGGGAAGTCACAGCCGTCAGTCCAGCTCTCCCTCGCTTGCTCCCTGTGTCCTCACAAGCTCATGTTCTCCCTTTGGCATTTCTTACAAACCCATGGCAACCTTCCCTCCTACCCTGCCCTCTGCCAAAGGCCAGAAATCTGAGGTGACCTCCTGCCAGGATCCATTTGCTAGTAAGTCATTAGCTGCCCTCTGATTTGAGGTGGGGAGGAAAAGTCTCCCAGGCGGCTTTGAAAGCGTAAAACATCTTAAACTGAGCGAAGTGCCCTTTAGCCAAAGGCTTTGCTCCAGGATACAAGCCACTGGAAGCATTAGTGAGGGGATTTCTCGGATCTTTTTTGAAGCTGGGTTTTGAAGCTGAGGTGAAGGGCAAGGCCCACCCTTACTGGGGACCTGAAGATGGAGGAAGGTATTGGTTTTTACTACAGCTGCCAAGACAGCCATCTGGGGGAGCTGTAAGAACTACCCATTTCTGGGCCACAGATCGATCAAAGCCCAACTTTTGTGCTTAGGGCTGGGCAGTGGTGTTTCTGAAGCTCTGCAGTTCGTTCAAAGCTGAGCCTGGGTTGAGGACCACTGCCACACCCACTCTGATTTTGCCTGCTGTGTGCTGGGAACTCATTACTGGGCCAAGACAAGACATTACCTGGTGATGAAATCTCATTATATGTTCATGATTTTAAAAACTAATACATTTTTTTCTGACAATGGTAATATATGTTAATTATAGAAAACAATAGAGGAATTTTTTTTTTTTTGAGATGGAGTCTCACTCTGTCACCGAGGCTGGAGTGCAGGGGTACGATTTCGGCTCGCTGCAAACTCCACCCCCCAGGTTCAAGTGAGACTCCTACCTCAGCCTCTGGAGTACCTGGGACTATGGGCACCTGCTGTCATGCCTGGTTAATTTTTGTGTTTTGGTAGAGATGGGTTTCGCCACGTTGGACAGGCTGGTCTCAAACTCCTGACCTCAAATGATTCACCCACCTTGGCCTCCCAAAGTGCTGGGATTACAGGCTTTTGCAAAAACAACAACAACAACAAAAACCTTTTATCCCACCATACACATCATAAAACCACTGTTAATATTCTACCAATATTTTCTTCCTGTGCCGATGTATTTTTACATAATCATGCTGTTGAACATAATGTTTTTCACTAGATTTAGTAAACATTTTTCAACGTTATTAAATATTCTTCAAAAACATGATCAATGGCTGCATGATAGTTCACATGGAATCATCCATTACACTACCATTAGACAAATTGTTTCCACTTTACACCATTGTAAGTGATGGTCAGTGAAGATGCTCGTGTGAATCTTGTTTGGAATCTGATTTTTTTCTCAGGTGAGCTACCTATAAGTGCACTTGTTGGGTAGAAATATCTTTTAGTGATCTTGCTGAATATTGCCTAACTAGCCTACAGAAAACTTGCTATCATAGTTCGTCTAGTTGTATATAAAAGCGCCCACTTTGTTATACTCTTTTAAAACATTATTTTCACTGCTTTTTAAATCAGAAGGGCTTTGTCCAGTTGGCCTCTGAAACAGTGGTCTGTACACTGTACCTTTACATATGTGTATTTTCCAAAATGGGATAAGCTTTGGCTGATACGGTTTGGCTGTGTCCCCACCCAAATCTCATTTTGAATTATAGCTCCCATAATGCCCACATCATGGGAGGGACCCAGTAGGAGGTAATTGGATCATGGAGTGGGGTGGTTTCCCCATATTGTACTCATGGTAGTAAGTCTCATGATATCTGATAGTTTTATAAAGGGCAGTTCCCCTGCACATGTTGTCTTGCCTGCTGCCATGTAAGATATGCTTTTGCTCATCCTTTGCCTTCCACCATGATTGTGAGGCCTCCCCAGCCATGTGGAACTGTGAGTCCATTAAACCTCTTTTTCTTTATAAATTACCCAGTCTTAGGTATCTCTTCATAGCAGCATAAAAATGGACTAATACAACAGCATTCACAGCTGGGAGTGACTAGGAACACAGAGCTTCAGACTTTGTGAGGCACAAGATACTGGGGCCATGTTACCAAGTGGCCTCCTGGAAGCCCTGAGAAGGAGTCCCAAGTGGTGTTCAGCAGCAAAGTGAGTGGTGGCCCTGGGGAAGGACCCAGAGGCTACACAGCCCTGATGATCAGCTTCTTAGGGGACCCCTCTGGAGGAACAGGCCCCTCCTCTTCCACAGAGGTGACTGGAAGGTCTGTCTCGTTCCATACACTGCATTTGTTCTGTGAGAACAGAAAGGGACCAGTGGGGAAAAAACAACATGGAACAAGCTGAGAGAGAGGGCGGTTCCATTCAAAGGACCTGGTGTGTGCCAAAAATGAGAATAAAGATTGACCAGCAATTCCTTTGGCAGAGATGTGGGCACACTGGCCAGCAGAGAGCTGGGGCCTTGGGAGTACAGCAAGGGCAGGGTCCACACTGCCACCACCTCCCCTTGGATGCCACTGCTCCGGGCTCAGCAGCGCTGGGCCGTCTGTTCAGTTCTGCCCAGGTCTGCCTGTGGCTTCTGCTCCAGAGGAGCTGGGTGGGGACAGTTGGAGTGGAGGAGTGAGGGCTGTCCCGGGAGAGGCCCGGGCTGCCGCCTCCGGTGGCACTGTCTCTCAAAGGCTCTGGAGGTCCCGGGGCCAAGGACCTGAAGACCCAGGTTTGAATGTAGTTGAGAGATTCCTGGAGCAGTGATGCTTGTTACAGAAGGATTTATTGGGAATTGAAAAGATGGCTTTAGTCTGCACATTAGCAGCCTGGGATGATAAGGAGCTTTAACCATTTGAGTCTGTGGTATGGGAAAAATTGCCAACAGGAACATATTTTGTATGGTTTTGCTTATTTAGCAAATGGTGTAAAAGCCTATATTGGTGCTTTTAATGGGTTTGGGTATTTTAGGGTGTGCATGGAGTTCCAGGACTTCTCCGATTTACACCTACTGTTGTGCTGTGGAAAAGGTTTGACTTGCTCCATTGTTCAGGACCAACTGGGAAGGGACTTGGGGATGCCTTTGTTTAAACACTCCCTCTCACTTTTCCTATTTGAATTGTTACTCTGGGATTCCGCCCCCCCAAAAAAAATTATGAAACATTTTGCCTCGAAAACAGAGCTCCCTTTTTAAAAATTAACGTAGCTCCTCAGAGGGGAGATTGCATCAGCCACCTCGTGGCAGCTCCTGCCAGGCGCCAGGAGCCTTTGTTTTGACTTCCTCATTTTTCTGTCAACTGACCTTTTGGTGGTTTTAAATGTAGAGCAAAACAAGATAAAACAAGCCAAGAAGCCCAGGACCAGGCATGTGGCGAAGGTGGTGGGCCCTCACCTTTTGGCAGTCCCAGCTCCTATGAGGCTCTCCACTAACTGGTGCGACCTGGAACTTGAACTTGTAATTCTCTGGTGAGGCCCAGCTTCCACTCTTGCCTTGTGCAGTCTAGCAGCTGCTGGGCTGCTCAGGCTGTGTATTAATACATTCCCATCTGCCCATCCTCAGCTACTCCCCAGCTCCTAAAGTTCTACCCTACTTTCTCTTTATCTAAATCTGATCCATGCAGCATGGGCATTCATTCCTGGGCTCCTTCAGCCCACACTCTGGTTTAGCCATAAATTAGGATTTACTCTCCAGCCCA